GTTATATAAGCTGAGATTTCAAGGAGAGGGTAGTAATGGCACCGACATTTCACACATTATGCTTTACCCTGATCCGGCCCAATTTAGCAGAATATTTCCTTGCTAGTTGTTTTGATGCAACCCACACCGCCATAGTGAATCGATTGGATCCTGGTGCGAACTCTGCGCACTTCGCGCTAGCCTCCGGATCAGCGATACACACCTCTTTTGTCCATATGTGGTACTGGCGGGCCGCTTCAACGCTTCTTCGGTCGAGCCATCCCGTCGCGCGATTGGGAATCGCAATCGCGTCCTACCACGTTTCAGTAGGAATTCTGCAACTAATAATCAAGTAAATCTCTTCGATTAAGTGTTTCAGCCAGTAATTTCCAGTAGCTATCACGCCCATGTAAAGTGAAAATCCGTTCCTCTCCGAGAACAGGAGCAGTCGTTCACGTACTTTTGCAGCCTCTCATTTTTTCTAATCTTTTTCGCTAAATGATGGGGCGTGTCAGGAGGAGGGAATTGGCCCGACGCCAGCCCGTTTCTTTCTTTGCTGTATCATATCGCTTGCAACAGTCGTTTTCCATTAACTGATGTCTGTTAGCTCTCTTAGGCGCTCTCGAGAGAGCGGGCTGGCGTTGCGCCAACCTGCCTCACTGACACGCCTCATCATTTGGGGCTGGTTACTGCAACAGTATTTGTTGAAGTTTTTGAAATTTGCTCGATTAGCTTAGTGCTTTTATGACTAGTGGTGGGGCGTCCTCGGTCGTGACAGGGATTGAATCGCTCGAGTTCCGAAGTACAAACGCTGCTCAAAGTACCAATCCTTCCTATTCGGCGGAGCCCTCTAATGTGTACGTATCGCGTGTTTTGATTTCGATTCTCTTTAAGGCTGACTATGGACGCGGCTAAATGGAAAGAAGCGCTTCAATTTGAGGCGTTTTCAGTGCTACGCGCTGAGCATGTTTGCGATGATTCGATTTTTAGTGCAACTTTTTTTCCAATTATGTTCCACTACTATCTGCGCGCAGATCTGAGAATATAGGAACAGGCTCTTCGAAATATAAAAAACCACTGTTGAAGACGAATTGCATTTCTTTAGAGGTTTATTCAGCTCATACTTGTTACCTATTAACTTGTACAGGAGATTGTATCGGAAACCTGAAGGCAGTTGCATCGAAAGCCTCATTCGAGTGAAGAATGGGGGGGGGGGTGAAGGAGCATGTCCGATGTTTTTCTATGTATGCGAGCGTGGGCCGAGTCTAAAATACAGCAAGCTGGAGGAACACACCCATGGTACAGAAGTAAGGCACCAACAACAAGCGTACTTAGCCGTCTGACAAATAAAATTCGATGGAATTGCAACCCAGCATTAGATGAGACGTGGTGTAGTGGCAAGCGGCACGCTTATCGTGCCCGGTTTGCGGCTAAATACAGGATCGGCTCCCGCCCAGGCCAACCAAGCTTTCTTCTCCTGGGAGATGGTAAATTGGTTCCAGATTTGTCTAGGAAGTTAAGAATACTAGTTTTACATCGGCTGGCCCCGTAAATGATTGTGTAGGCCACGCACTGAACACGCCTTCTTGATTCTGAATGGAAGAAGGATGCTTGTTGCATCCCAGAAAGCGTTGATCAGCAGCAAAAATTTTATCCTTTTATCCTTTCAAAATAAGCGATAGCGGTGTGGAGATCTGTAGAATTCTATTCAGGTTCACTTTTCCGTAGGCGACAAAGAGCGAGAAGATGATGAGCACAAGCGAGATCAGCCAGAAACCAACACTACCATTAACCTGAAAAGCTGGCGGTAAGTACCTGTTCCATATTCATCACAAAATTTTGATATTTTTCTTTCAAAAACTAGTTTTTATCGACAAGCGCCCTGGGATGTGAGGTATTGTCATGGTCACGTTTTTTCTACTTATCCCTTCATTGTGCTCTTTCATCTCACCTTATCGACATTATTTCCCCATTGTAATCCCACAATATTACCTAGAGCTTTGGCTAAGCTCTCATTCGCTGAAGATGACGGGGCGTGCCTCAGAGGGAGGGGGGAGAGTGGTTTGGCGCTACGCCAATCCACTTCTTTTTTTCTTTCGGCGACCGACAAAACTGTATCAAATCGTTCGTATTCGTCGTTCTGCTTCAGTTCTTTCCGCTTACCCGCTTCAACAGCATGGAGAATGAGATGGCGGCGCGTTAAACCCGGCCTCGCTGTCGTGCCCCATCATCCGCAGCGAACAAGGCCGTATAGTGTATATTCTGTGTTCTTTTTATGAGTATGGACCTCGTCTCTGGCGCCAGCGCCACTACAGCGCCACCCATTTTCCTGGTGAGTTTGGTGGCGGAGTCCCCGAATTGGTGAAAGGGGCCCAATTTTCCTTACCCTTCCCTCGTCATAAGTACGGAATAAGAGCCGACATCAAAAATTGGATCTCATATCAGGACCTGGGTACAGGGTAACCTCAATAAATGTGGTTCCAGCTGGGTTGCCCCTAATGAGCTTTCCTCAAAGCAGTCGCCCCCATTGTTAGTCGAATATTGCTACTGTAAAGACTACAGTACCTTTGGTACGGATCGTTATGTTTACAGCTACATGAAGACTATCGAGCACCCTCCCATTATGGATTTCTACCGTAATTCGGTTGATATTATCGAAGGAGGTGGTCATGCTCGTCCTTCTATGCTTCAATTAATTCATGGAGACAAGGCTGTTCCGGAAGAGATGGATATCGAAGGGTTCAAGGTACTTTCTGTTTTTAATGAGGGGAAATGGACCCATGTAGTCCTTGTGTGTTCCCATCCTACGTATGATATCGCTTTAGTTGCAAAATGATGAACTGGTTGAAGGGCAGATTGCGAGACCGCAGAAGAAAGCACGTATGGAAAAATTTAACCCTCCTCCAACACAGGTACATTCAGTGTAAAGATAGTGAAATGGTTGCTCCGTGGATTTATGACATTTAAGGCTCGCGTGAAATTCGGGTGGATTCAAGGCGTGTTTGTACGATGTCTTTTGAACATTTTCGGTGTAATGTTATACCTTCGCATTAGTTGGGTTGCTGGTCAAGCTGGTGTCGGTGAGTCCTTCAAGCAGCGTTCAGACTTTGCGACGGCAGCGCTTCGGTCGCGCGTTCGACGCGATCGATGCGCATGCTTTCGACTGCATTGATCGCGTCGAACGCGCGACCGAAGCGCTGCCGTCGCGAAGTCTGAACGCTGCTTTACGTTCATATACTATATATCTGTGGTGTAGAGCATTACTTCCAAGTTGTGCCATCACGCGCACTAGCAGAGTATTTCCAAGCCCTTTGATATTTTCCTTCTTTTTCATTATTTACTAGTTAGACGGAGACAGGCAGAGAGAGAGAGAGCAAGTGTTTTAAAAGATGCAGACGCAGGTCTTAAGAGAGTTGACGCGCCGTAGCACTACTACGTTGAGTGAATTGGGTCTTGGTGTGAATGTCACCCCTCTTTAAACCTCTATTTCGTTGCACTTTTCGCAACCGGGGGATAAGCGTTCATACCCATATTTCTCGCAGAGCGGTTATGTAGTTTA